TCCCCCCCCCCGCACCCTCCTGCCCCTCACACCAATGATACCTACCTTTTCTTCTCCCAGTGGCACCACGAGCAACTTGTGGGATGGAGTATTTGTGGGGTGTGGTGAGGGTCTCTGGGGAGATAAAAATTGCCCAGTTCTAGAGGGGAGGGGAGGAAAAGCGCAGCCCCAGCACTGCACAGATAACTATGCAGAAGTTTGATGCACCTGTCTAACCTAAATAGATTAAGTTTGAGTGTACATTGATCCAAGTCTATCTTAGACCAGGATCCACCGATTTTAAACTGGTCATTTGTGGAACTTCTGTACACTTATAAGTTTATATTGATTTCCATTCACTGAGACTGGGTATAAGTGCAAGGTCTGCACTGGGGGGCAAACTAAGTTAGATCAGGTGGCCATTTTTTACCCAGTCTAACCTCCCCCTATTCCCACAAATGTCTGCACTTAGCCTTACAGATTAACCGGTTCAGAGAAGTGTAAGCTTTCATATGTAACAACCTACTTTGTCAGATGCTATGCAGATGGCAAAGTAAGTTGTTGCCTGCAAAAGCTCATGCCTCTGAATTAGTTGGTCTCAAAGGTGCTTACCCTGCCCTACCCTATGTTGGATCACCATCCATGTAACCCTTTCAGTTCAACCTTATTTGAGTAAAAATCCCCCAAAATATCATACAGTATGCATTATGAGTGATCTATCTGAAACTGAGCATGTGTTTACATGACAATATAGTGCCATGCCCAAATGTTCAAGATAACACCACATGTACACACATAACTATACTAGTCTTGATACCTGAGCTGCTCTGGGTGTACAAATTCCATGTACAAGCAATTCTAGATCATTTACACCGTTTTTTAGGCCTGATTTATTAACCTTGGCTGGAAAGAAAAAACATGTGATGTATTGTTTAGAAATAGCTATTTTTAATCCAAAATGTAGACAATTTTGATAGAATACTGAATGTAAAAGAACTGGAAAATATGTGAGATAAATATTTCTTAGCTATAATACCATTATTATTTTTACTGTGGTAGTCAGTGCAGCAGAAGCTGGCTGAATTCACCTATATTTAATATAATTCAGCTGTGATCCCATGATTCATTTTCCTGTAGGCAATTTATTCCTCCATATGACTTCTGAAACCTCACTCACATGATGATTATTTCCATGATAATTAAGCTTCTAAAATGTGTTCATTAGAAAATAAGTTTCTAGAACTTACAACTAAGTTGAAAAAGACCTGCTCTAGCCTGAATATCTTAATTTAATAACAAATTTTCTTAAGTAATTTTCAAATATAATCAATTCAGGAAAAGAAGTGATCACTAAAATGATCACTAAAATCACTTTTCACAGCAAGATATATGTCACTGAGCACACTGCAGAAGTTAGGAGTTAAGAATCTTCCTGCAACATTGTAGCATTTCTCATTACCTTAGCAGTCACTGTATTTTCAGTGTGTATGAGAGAGGAGAGATAGAAAGAGAAAGAGTATTTAAAGCCTTTAAAATACCTTTACTATGGCTGGAAAGTGTCTAAACAAAGCTTATGGAAAGTTTTAAGATGCTTATGTAAACCAAGCATTTATATACTAATGATAGTCTTGTGGTCAAGTGTACTGTTAAAATGGGGTGTATCCCAAAAGAAAACTCTGGCTACTTATTAGGACCTAATCAAGGAATCAAGGGTGATGTAGTCACCTACCCTGGAGATCTTCAAAAGGAGACTGGGGACACACTTTGCTGGGGTTATTGGACCCCAGCAGTCTTTCCTGCCCAGAAGAGGGGGGCTGGACCTGATGATCTCGCGAGATCCCGTCCGGTCCTAAAATTCCGTGGATCTGTGAATCTGTGACTAACTGCAGTCAGCTGGAATCCCTCCATTGACTTCACTGAGCTTTAGCCTCTACCATGGGTATTTAAGATCTCCATAAATACCACAGATACTTACAGTATTTACTCAAATCCAAGATAAGGTTTTTTTCCCCAATTTAACAATCTAGGAGGGAAGGCACCTCCTGCAGCTCTAACTCCAGCCCAGACCTGGGCTCAGGCTCAGAGCCACAGGTACTACCCTCCCTCTGCGCCCCTTGCCTGTTCCCCTGCCACCACCACTTACCCTCCAGCACCAGTCCAGGGCACAAAGCACATGCTGGCTCAGGCCCTGGCCCCGGCCTGGTCACATAGCTGCAGTGGTAGTGGCAGTGGCAGCAGCTCTGGCCCTAACTTTGGGGTTCGGACTGCCACTGTCACAACTGCTGCTGCATGGCTGGACAGGGACCAGAGTGCCCATGTGCTCTATTCCTGGGTTGGAGCAGAGTCAGTGGGTAAGTGGTGGGGGCAGAGGCTGTGATGGGGAGGGGTGCAGAAGCTGTGGGGGAGGGAGAGGCAGAAGCACCAGGGAGGGTAAGGATGGGTGACAAGCACTAGAAGGTGGCCAGGCAAAAGGGGGGAAGTTGTGAGGGGGGGACAGATGCCATTGCGTGCAGGCCATGGCAGGGTCAGGGGCCAAGAGATGCAGGGACTCACCCAGTGCAGGCATGAGGAGGCAGACAGGAGGGGGGACAGGTGCCAGGGCACAGGGCAGGCACCACGGGGACAAGTGTTGAGTGAGGACAGGAGGCAGAGGGCAAGGGGCAGGGAACAGACAACTTGACTACCCCACTGCCTGCCCCCCACCAGCTGCTTGTTCCACTGTAGCAGTGGGTGAGACAAATTGAAGATGACTGTCCAATAATTAGATTCTGTACATGGAAAATTATAACAAATTTATACATTGTCCATATATTGAGTCTAACTATTTGGGGGGTTCTCTTCAATTCCAAGTTCTCTTGGATTTAAGTAAATACAATAGGTGTTTTGGAAAAATATATAGCCATGAGAGATTATGCAGAAATTGTTTTCAATGTATTTTTAATATTTAGGAAATTACATGCTTAAGTGTACTTCTCAAAAAGACCAGAGGTGAGATCATGGTCCCATTAAAATCAATGGCAATATTCCCATTGACTTCTATGAGCCCAGAATTTCACTTCATAACTCACTCCAGTGGTTTCCAGTATGCACCTGCCACTAAAAGTGAGCTATTGTTAAAAAATGAATCTATAAATATGTTCTGAAACCTTGTTTAAATAGAAACACAACACTCAGTCAACTTCCTCTACTACTTTTTTCAACATTAATGGGAATATTTTTAACCAAATTCTACTTAAAACATTAGGTAAGGATCTTTGTGGGTGCTATTAGACCAGTTTTGTGTTGGGAGGGATACAGACAATCTTTCAAGCACCAAGTATCTTTCCTCAGATCTCCCTCCCTGAGACCTGAGAAAGAACACTTGGTACCCATAAACTTGTCTATATCCCCCCCAGCTATATAGCTGGTCCAATAAATGATATCATTTACAAAAGTCCTTGCCTCTTGCATTTTTCCTGGACCACCAGAGCTATAGAATCATCCCAACACTATTTAAAACATTGAAGATGGTAAAGAAGTAAGTGTGGGAATGTAATATCAGAAAGAAGTAATTTGAAATCAAGCTGAAGTATGCATTTCCTACTGTTTTATCCTACTCTTTCTACCTGTCAGTGGATGTGTCTACATGAGATACCCACTGCGCAGTCATTTAGTACTTGCATAACCAAGGACTAAATGAAAGTGCAGTAACTGGCACTACTATACAGTAGTATCCCAGCACAGTAGCCTAAATGACACTGTGCAGTACCTCATTACTACTGTGTAGCAGCATCGCATCATGGTTCATGCTCGGCCACACTACTGCACAGTAGTAACGAGCTACTGCACAGTAAGCATCTCAGGTAGACACACCCAGATGGTCTTTAGACTATGCACTTCTCAGAATGGGAAATGTCCCTTCTTGAATATTTGGAAATACCTTCCCATGGTGAATGCTACTGTATCAGATGCAAACAGGTACCAGGATGCAAACAAATCAGATAAATAACTTGCAGTTCACTGTGACTTATAAACAAGTTACACAAGTTCCTTGAAATCCATTATATGGATGTGTCTAAAGTTTTAGTGAATTCCATTTATTTGAAAATCCCCTTTGCAAACAGTACAAGTGTTTTCAGCACACATGGAATTAATTTGGTTTACTCCAACTGGAAGTAATAATTCCAGTTCATGACAGAAATGTTTTTGCTGTTTTTTGTTTGTGCATACGATTAGAGTCAACTGCTTCAAGGTGCTAATTTTTATAATACAACAGTTTTAAAATGAAAGGAAAAAAATAACAGATGGTTAGCCTATCAACCTGAAAGTTTACTATGATAGCTTTACATACAAAAATGTAAAAAGACGATATGGGCAAAACTCAAAATATAAGCAATACCAGAAAGCATATGCAGACTCCTAGACTGAATATTGTCTTCCAGAGGATCAATGTCGAAGACGGACCCAGGATCTGTGCGCCAAACTTTGAGGTCTTCTCACAAAGAAAGAAGACAGACAGCAGTGATATAAATAAAAGCATGAGATCAAGGAGTTTAAAGAACGGTGATTGTGTTATTCCTTGTTATAGTTATTAACAGAAAGATCTAGACATCCATGGACTAAAGGCATTTGTTTCCTATTAAAAGTTACTTGTTCCATTCATTTTAAGTGTTATACATCATTCCAGAATGGATTAGATATAATGGATCTTACCTTAGAGTAGTGGGTGAACTTAGATTGCTTCTCAAAATCCCTGTCCTGACCTATTTTCTATAATTTTTAGAGGACAGTTTTTTACTTTACTTCTAATTTTGCCAAGCATGACAGTAACATTACATATGACTATATTAATGAAATATTTTTTAAAGTATCATATTAAATAGCCATTTATATTATAATACTTGGGAGGTTGCTTTTTTTTTTTTAAAACAAAACTCACACACTGTCCACAACAGTCACTTCCTTCTTCTGTGACTTAACTGTTATTTTTTTGCCTACCTAGAAGTTAAGTTCCTTGGGACACCATCCCCTATCTTAGCTAAAACTACTCTTGGAATTCATCTTATGAATATACTAAGAGGAATGAAAATGACTTCTTTCCTCATAACTTGTACACGGATCTAACTGCAAATTTTGAAATTCACAAGCCCGAACTGGCTAGTTTAGGAGAGAGATTTGCACATTAAAAGGTTACAATTTATAGCTAGATCCCAAGTACTAATAATTTGCTAAAGATTAATAAACAATTAAGAAATCTCTTAATATATTTTAATGAATATAACTAGTTAAAACTTTTATACCTATTTGTAATAAATATAAACTATAACCACAGGCCTAAAGTTCAATAATAACAATATTTATAACCAATCAACACCTCTTATGAACAGCTCACAACAATCTCTGACATACTGGTAAAATAATTTATAAACTTTTACAACCTATGTTAAAATAGACCTTATTATAAAGCGTGGCCAATTAAAAGATGAATCCATCAGATCATACACTTACCCTAGTGCAGGGCCAGGCAAAGTCCGGCCCATGGGCTGGATCTGGCCAGCAGTGAACTCCATTTCCCAGCAGGCCCTGCCCACGTGGCTGGGGCCAGTTTCCATGGAGACCTCAGCAACAGCCATGCTGTGACAGCATGGGGTCAGTGTTTCCATGGAGACCAACCCCAGCAGTGCTGGCAGGCCTCTTCCTGGTGGTGATGGCAAGGGGGGACTGTGCTGCAGGTAGGAGCATGGCGGGCTCAGCCGCCACTACCTGTGCAGGGTGGGCAATGGTAGAAGTGGCTGGAGCAGTACCACTGAGAAGGGTGGCTATGGGGGGCCACAGGGAATTTAGGAGTGGCTATAGGTCCCCCAACCTCCCAATACTGCCTTTGGTGGCAGGGCAAGGAGCGGCTCCAGAGCCCAGCTGGATCTTGTGGCAGTGACAGCATGATCCAGAGCCAGGCCAGAGCCACAATCTGCAACCCAAATGCTCCAGGCAGGGAAGTGCAGTTGGGAGACTGTGGCTCTGCCCTGGCTCTGGACCATGCTGTCACCACTGCAATATTCCAACCCAGCTCTGGAGCAGCCCCACGCCCTGCTATGTGCCCTGCCAGTGCTGCCGGGGTCAGTCTCTACAGAAACCCCAGGTTCGCACTATGACAGTGAGGCTGCTGCTGGGATCTCCATGGAAACACCCCAGCCACGCAGGCAGGGCTGCTAGGAAATGGAGTCTGGTTGCTGGCTGGATCTGCCATTTTGCCCACACCTGCTTGGTGTCTGCTTGCTAAGTGAGGCCAATATGTTAGAGGTGGGAAGTCTTTCCAACATGGTCCCACTATTGGGGGAAAGTGATATCAAGCTACCTTATACGCTGGTAGGCAAAGTAGAACTATGGGGAACCCTGGTACGTGGCACCTAAAGGTGACACAAGTAGCTATAACCAACAAACCAAATTCCACAGCCTCAGATCAAGATTCCATGTTATCTACTGTACTGTAGCCTTACTGTGGAATACAATACAGTTCCCCACTGAATTAATTAACTACATTTCAATATTTCAATAAGTATGTGTTGGCTCTAGCAGTGACAGATTAGTCATCTCTGAAAAGCACTGAAAGGCATGAAGGGGAGAAGGGATTGGTTAGTTCCCTGTATCTCATACTTTATAGTGTAGTTTTATTTTTTTTTAACTTAAAAATGTGGTTGTACAGGGCATTTGTATCCTATCATAAACTTTATATTACTTTTACTCAATCTCCATCAAAACATATAAAACAATAATCTTGGCAATTTATGTCACCAAACAGCTTGCATCAATTTCTTTGCTACTTCTATCTGAATGAAAATACCCTCTTTGGGTGTATGGCAAACCTGTACTTCTTTTACTTTACAGAGCCACAGACAGATGAGAATTCATTTATTTTGAAGTCTTTGTAATGTCCTTTTAGGATTAAGAAACATGTTCATTTTCCAGAGCACAGTCATTACATTTAAGCAACGTTATTAGGACTTTACTTATTATATGTTGGAAGCCCACTAGAAGGGTTCTAATGGAAAAGTATTTTTCCTAAGTGGCTGAACATGAATCAGCCAGGGAAAAGCTTAAAGAGAGTTATAGATGTTTTCTGAGTCTGTGATCTCTGCTAACTGCCAAGAACATTCTTTGAACAATGAGTCCATTGCTTCTGTTTAAACAAGTAGCATTTACTGAAATATCAGTGGAAGTAAATCTTTCAAGTTGTCATAGGCTATTTCTTCTAAATAACTGCAATGTTTTTATTCAAAGAATGGTATCTGTTTTGAGGTGTGCTAACGGATTTACATTTGACAAATGATATTCAACTTTGCTTCAATAGTGTTATATATAGGTGGGAAGCTGCAGTGGGAGATGAGCTCAGGCATGATTAACATGAGGGTATAACACTGAAAACATTTCCTATTATATCCATGGATACATTGGTGAATTACATGTATGCCAAGCTACAAAAAGACTGGAATATGTCAATCGCTAAGGGGTTTAGAACGTGTTAAGGTGTTGTGCACCCCTTGGCTCTTCAACAAGCATCTGCTGTGGAAATTAGAGGTTTGCTCTGGCTTTAAAGTCTTCCTGGCAGGCAAGCAATTCCCCTGATTATGTTGTGTTACCTTAGATGCCAGAATGTACAACTTTCCAAGGCTTGCATTAGCTTGAGAGTTTCAGATACCTTTCATTAGACAGAGCTTTCCTGGGTAATAAAAACCACTTGTAAGTATGTATTCTTGATATTTAAACTACAGTCAACCCTAATTTAAATTATCTTTATTATTAGGTAAAGCCATCTCTAGAAAGAACATGTTGGGGATTCTTATCACCTATAATCCTGTCAGGAATGATAAAGAGAGGACAACCACAAAGAGAACAATGAATAACGCCAAGTATTCACTTCCTTTTCCATTACATTTATGATAACTTTTAGAATTATTTTGTTTTGATTTTAAACAAATATTCCTCATAAAAACATAAGGGGGAGAATTTAACTTAAATATTTTGTTTTAAGACCTTACAGTGATGGTCCAGGCATCTGTTGTGTCTACTTCTTTCCTTCTAACCCCTCATGGCCTTAACCTAGACACTTTTTTTACAGAGGCTATTCTCAAACTGTTGCCTGTGACCTACATAATGTCTGATCAGCTTGTCATGATCCACAAATTGAAATATTTTGAGAACTGTGAAAAATATTGGGATGATGGGTACCACAAATATGTGGAGCTCCAAGACAGACAGTAGGCGTTCCACGAAAGGATGATTTCACTTGTGAGCTGCTCAGCAGTTTACATCTTAGCGAACCACCATTTCAGAGAGAAACAAGATTACTTGAAATGAAGAATACTGCAGCCCTAGACCTCTCCTAAATAGTGAAAAGTTGTTGCATACATATTCAAGTGAAAGAAAAACTGCAGAGATTAATAAAACCATCTCTCTCGAACTTTCAGACACTCCAGTTAACATTTCATGACTTCAGAATACAAATTATCTTATTAAAAACTGCCTTTTTCCTGACAGAGAACAAGTTTCACACCACACAATTCAGACTAAAAATGAAAGTGTTTGATCACTAAATAAATACATAAGAGAAGTGATTCCAGTTTTACACAACAAAATAAAGGAAGTTACACTTCACACAATTCTGCCTCCCTAAGCATTCAAAGGATGAACCTCAATTCTCTCAGAACTGATCTATACCAGGTTGGCAAAGTCAACTTTCTTTGTGATTATTTATCCTTCTTATTAACTACTTATTAACTACTTATTGACTAAAGTCACTTAAATATAATAATAATGTATGCCTTATGGGTAGATGTAGCAGATGTAACACTTCTTATATTACAGTGCAATTTTCCTTTTCTCATTGTTTGGGAAAGTCAATTAATATCTAGTAAAATTCTGTCATTTTATTATTTGATTGCTTAATGTCCTCATTAATTTGAAACTGATGAAGTGTCTATAGTCAGCTATTTTGCCAGACAATCACTCTCTGAAATACCAATTCTGACTGATGGTTTCAATCTTAAAAAAAAAAAATCTTCATACAAAATAATGAATTGAAATAATAGATGTTGCCTTGACAGGTTAGTAAAAGAGATTTAACTCCAATATCACAATCAGAGGCAAGAAAAATGAAAAACAGAGATATGTTTTCTTGATTATAAGGAGAATATTGAGCAATGCTTTTTATTTTCAGCAACAATCCTTGGATGGGAAAGCTGTTTTTCAACTTACCAACAATTATTCCAGGTCTCCTATCCATTTCGACTATATGTGGATGGACTCCTTTGTATGCAGCATCACTCATAACCTGAGTGTTTTTTCTCACCCTCTCTGTCACAGGATCATCCACCACTGGAGTGAAACCCCTGCCCTTTGTCTTCTCAAAATCTTCATGATATTTCACCTGGAAAATATAAGAAGTGACATTTTTTCCCCTAGCCATGACTGATCTTAACTGATCTAAAGGTTATGGGCATATAAACAATTAATGTGAGCTAACAAAAGGTAGGGAAATTTACTGCATCAGAGGCTACATGAAAGCTATTCATGTATACACCCAGTCCTGCAGTAAGTAAAAGGTAACCCACAGCAGCTTATTTTTTAATGAAAGAGAGCTAAATTACTATATTTAGCTTTTACCTACCATGGGTTCAGAGCATGCATATAGAGTTACCACAGAACACTTGACACATGGTAAAACTCTAGCTCCTTTTATCTTACAGTAAACTGCTCATATGTCTACATCCTAAATTATGCTAAAAACTGCTGCATAATAGGTATTTTTATTCCTTGGATTTTATGCCAGAAACAAGATGTAAAAGACTTGGCAAGCTGTCCAATCCATTTCCTTGACCATTTTTGCAATGTATCCTGTAAAAAAGGATGTTACACAAAAACCCAAAACAAAATTTAACATTGCTATTGAATTAGTAATTAACTCAAGCTGCTAAGAATCATTGTACAGGCATAAAAACACGTGGCTAAAAAGGTACTTCCAGAGGTCATCCAGATGAGTGGCGGCAAATCTTTTTGGTGGTGTGCCACAAATTAGCCACATACCCTCCTGGATTACCACTTCTACCCCTTCCCCTGCCTAACTGACTGCTCTGCTTTCTGGTCCCTTCCCTGTGTCCCTTCCCAATATGCTGTTCTTTTTCCTGTTCCCCGCCCTATCTGTGACTATGCTGCTTGTCCCCTCCCCCATCTGCTGTGTGCCACATACAGCTGCCCATACTGCTTGTGGCATATGCTACAGGTCAAGCATGCCTGATCCAGGATAAGTATATAAATACCAGCATCTCTAAAGATGCGCATGCCCCGGTAGCAATCTGACAGGATTTTTAAGAACT